ACTTCGGGGTAACCTGACTTGTTAAGGTGTGTATGAAGCTTTCCATGAGCAGGAGAGAAAGGAGAGCATCATGGGGGGTGGGTAAGAGGCAGGAGGGGATAAGGAGATGGCTTGGTGGAAAGGACAACTGAGCATCAGAACTTGAGGTGAAACAACCTGACCTGGAAAAGGAGGAGGCTGAGAAATAGACTGGATGAGGGAAGAACAGGTAGGTCCCAAGAGCTACGAAGGGTCAACTGTATGTCCCTATGTGTTCAAGGTGTTTTGGGAAGAACAGGGAGTTGGGTAGAAAAGCTGCTTGTGCCTAAACCACCTGAAGTCCACTGCTCCTGCATGAGCCCTGAGAGTGCAATGGAGCACAGCTGCCAGAGCCTGCACACCAGGCTTGAGGTGCCAGCAGGCATGGGGGTCTGTAAGGAAGGTCCTTTTAGGGAAAAGGAGACATGGCCTGAGTAACACCTACCTCACAAGAAAAGACTCCTGCAATGGCGTGGGAGGTAGGCTGAATGGCCCAAGGAAGGAAGGTTTCCATGCATATTGCAGCCTTTGGGCAGCAGGGACTCCTGGTCCTGTGAGCAGGCATATTCTGTCCTTCATCTCCATCCCAGATGGGTTTTGGAGATCAAAGGTAAAGCTCTCTGCTGCTGTAACACTATTGATGTCAATCGGGTTGTGCCATAGGTGAGTTGGCTCTCTCCTTTTAATTACTGTAGGTATTAAACTTGAGTCTTCAAGGTTGAAACTTCTACATGTGGCCTGCGCAGCATCTATAGATCACTCAAATATCACTTAAAACCTCAATGTAGTTCTTTAAATGTTGTGTCAAAGCTTAGTGCTGGCTCTCTGCATGGGGAAATTGTCTTCACTGGACAGTTGCCCATGGGCTGCACATGGGGTAATCAGCCACCCTAATTGCTACCGGTGATCTATAGCATTGACGTTCTGGTGGTGAAGTCAATAGTTCTCAGTGCTGGATCATCAGCTGCTTCCTTCTGTGTCACAGTCTGGTGACTCTCCCAGCAATATACTGAACCATGTTTGTGCAGAAAAAGCCTGCAATAAAATGTGCAAGAAACTGCAAAGAACCCCCTGATAAATGAGATCTCTAAGTCATTCTTTGAGGCCGTGCCGGAACCTGGTTATTGCTTAATAGAGTATGTGCAGCAGAGCTTGGTTTATGGGGTAGGAGCACGCTAAAAGGAGGAGGGCTCCTGGCAGCTCATTAAGCACAATGTTTGGGTGCTCCTCCAAGGCAGAGATAGCAGTGGAGATTGCCCCACGTGGCTTGTACTGCTGCCTCCAGCCAACACTGATCTCTGCTCTGATCAAAAAATGTCCATATTGGATCATCCTTGGCTCTTCCCTCATTAGGGCTTTCTGATGGGTTCATTAGGGCTTTGTTGGATCCTCCAAGCCATCCCTGGCTGGACCCATGAGACTGCATCTGCCTTTCCCTTCACCCCCAGTTAATCTCTTTCTGCACAGCGATTGTCTAAAATAGTTCTACTTACCCTTTTTCCGGCATGAGTTTGAAACTCTGCAGATACCATTTCATTTCTGCTTGAGCTCTGGGACATAGAGAAATTAAGGCTTCTTTCCCAGTAGCTGCTGTCTTCTCATCTTTTGCCTCCTCTGTGTGGTCTGGTGACAAACTCACTGCTGTTACAGCATCTCTGCAGAAGCCATGATCCTCCTGTAAGATTTGCCTGTTCCTCCTCCCAGCATGGCCTTTTCCAGACCTCATCTACCTGTGCTTCCCTGAACTTCTCTCCTGATTCAGAACCAAACTGCAGTGGTGTTGAACTGGGACAGCCGGGTCCCCAAGCTGCTGTAGGACACGCAGCTCCATCACTGCCCTACAGTCAACAGCTCTCCCCCAGCACGACCTGGACCCTTCGCTCTCCTTTTCCCTCTCGTGTGCTGTCTGTTGTAGTTTATTTTAAACGCTGGGATAGTGCTACCTCCAGAGAAGTTAATAATCCTCACTCAGGCTACAAGGTCTGCGTGTCCCACCCCAGCAATAAGCCAACCTCGCTGTGTTAGGAGTGCCATCAGCGCTGGTGGAGGGCAGTGGATCTGGCAGCTGTAGGGCTGGAGGTCAGGTTTGCTGTGGCACACATTTCAGATTTTCAGTGCAATAGGCTTTGATAACATTAAATGGAGTGAAGAGCTTCTCTCTTACTCAGATTCTATTCCTTTTTTTTCCCCTCTCCTTTTTAAATTAAGGCAATGCAGTGTTGCATTGTAAGAAGGATCTATTTTTCTACTGACCTGTTTCAGTAAAAATTCAGCCCGTCTAGAGCATGTGCTGCTTTTGAAGATGGAAAGAATTTCATCGATATTAAGGGCACTATGATCAGCTCATCTCACCTCATGCATAATACAACCCAGAGAATTCCCCTCGGGACTCTCCTCTTGAGTCCAGTGCTCTGCAGATGGGTGACACCGTGGCTTTTTGTGTGATTATCCAGAACCATCCCAAGGTCTGGCTCAGGGGTCTTGTTCAATCATTTCTCCATCACCAGTAGGATGTGAGACACTTGCTGTGGGAGACAGCAGCTTGGTTTTGGCCCATGATGCCACTAGCACAATGAAAATGGCTTTTCTACCTGCTCTCTGCACACTTGCAGCATCTTTGCTTTTTCAGACCTTGGTTGAGGGAGAATGAGGGCAGTGAGAAGGTGCTGAGATAGATGTCTGTAGCTCTCCCAGATCCTTTCTTTTTATTGCTTCCCCTTGAGGACCTAGGGTTTCCTATCTCAGTGGGGACTATGGACCTAGGGGAGCTTTCAGGTCAGTTCCAGATGTTCAACAGTGCATGAAAGAGAAGACATTTGTGCAGCTTAGCTAAGCCAGTCCTGTCTCCTTCCAAGTTCGTGACAGGAGAGTTACCTCCAGAAGGCAATTAAAGGTATCTAAATGAACTTCCTGCCTCTAATCACCATCTGAAGGACCTGTCTCCTTCCTCAGATGGAGACAACTGCCTTTGCTCCTTCTCAGGCACCCTGAGAGATCTTGTTCTGCAATGGAAGTGATTTATGGCTCCCAGGAGGCTGTACACCCTGCAGAGGAGGGTAGTTTTCTTGTGAACTGACATAAATATCATTTTTTTTCCCCATTTGTTCCACAAATGAAATGAAACAGCTCAGTCTGAGGACTTGCAGAAAGACTTGTTTCCGTCAAGTCCTCAGAAATGCTGTCATGTTTCATTCCAGGAGAAATTGGTTTGAAACTTCTTCACTGCCAAAAAAAAAAATAATCTGAAACTGCATTTTCTTCTCTTCCTCCCACCTGAAGCTGTCTGGGTCTCCCTGGGGTAGGAGTGATGGATTCAGGTCCATCTTGCTGATGGCCATCACATGTATTCATGTGTCTTTTCCCAGTCGTTTCCAGCATCAACACAATATTTAGATCTTAAAGATACCTGAGTAACCTAGGTGCTGTTATTTTCAAAAGTCACCAAGATTTCTGGACTGCAGAGATCATGCTTCTCCATTCTGCAGCATGATTTCTTCAAACAATGTTTTTCTAAACTCCTGGTCTTTTGTGTCTTAATGTTATCAGTCAAAAGGAAAATACTCTAAGGCACCAGTCTTATTTGCTGGCCATACTTGTGTCATCTTGTTGCATGGTCCTCATAGTGATCTGATGAGACCTCACTTCTTGGATACTGCCCATAAGAAATAAGATGTTTTATGTTTAGAGGAGAGCCTTTGATTTTTTGGAGTTTAGCCTTTGTACAGCTGTGCAGGTTTGATATCTTGGTCACAGTATGTTAAAGCTGTTCACTTCCTTAATTTTTGGCATTTACTAAAGAGGTTTTATGCCTTTCTTTTATTCGAGATTAAATGGTAATCGTGGTTTTGTGTGTGTTTCCAGCTCTGTATCCCCACATGCAGTTTGGGACTTGGCTGGTTGCCCCATCAGTGGGTGTTAGGGCCACCAGTATCAGTCTGGGGAGCTAATGCTGATTTCTACTCGTGCTCCTGCTTTATGCAGGATTGGAAACACATTCAGAGGCTGCCCAAGTAAAATGACTATACCTGGTGTATCTAGAGAAGAGATGAAGATCAGTTTGCATCATGTTAGTACATAAATCCAGTTCCCCTTAAGGTGCTTAGGCACATTTGGATAATGACCTGGAACAATCTAGGTAGCAGGAGGTTACATGTACCTGTCACGTCAGCCTCGGCGAGGGGGTGAGATTGCCAGCCGGCAGGTGTAAGCAGCCAATTATGCCACACTCAGAAGTGTTTCATTCTTTTCTTTTCTTTTTTTTCTTAATTCTTTTTCCCATCTACCCAGCTCCACAAAGAGAATCCTGCTGTAAAGACCTCTACCTCCCGCTGGCATCACCTCCTGTCTGAGGAGACAGTGTTTAAAGTGCCCTCAATATTTCCAGCGCAGTTTTTCTGCCCCTCTAGTCCTCTGCAGGGGACTGGACTGAGCCACCCAACGCGTGGAGACCGTGTGTGTCAGTGCAGTGGGTGATGCAGAGGTGCTGGTGGGATCTAGTTTTATTGCTGATGGGAGGAGGAATTGCTTCATCTTTATGCTTTAGTACCGTGGTTTTGTGGGGTTTTTTCCCTTCTCTACTTGTCAGGTCAGGGAATGGTTCCTGCTGGTTGCAATACATGGGGGACAGTTCTCACCTGGGATTTCTGGGCACTCCCTGTAGGTAACACTGGGAAGTTCAGTGTGTTTGTGTGTGTGCCTGCCTGTCCATGCACATCTATTTTGGGAGGGAATTGAAGCATCCTAGCAGATGCAAACCAGTTCCTATACCAAATGTTCTTAAATCCCTGCTTCCCTCCTCCTTTTTTGCTTCCCCCCCATTTCTCTGGCTCAAGGAGTTTTTTCTATTTCCAGCTGAGATTTCATACCTTTTTTTCATTGTGGGGACCAGGGGAGGGGAGCAAAAACTGCAATGTTAATTACTTCTCAATAAAGCTAACCTGGAGCAAGAGCTGAAGGAAAGTACAAGGGAGATTTCCCTTGGTTTAATGATAATTTATCCCAGTCACAGCAAAGATGCCATTCTCCAGTGGACCAAACTCTTCCTCTTCTACTACACTTGAATGACCTTTATCCTCTTCAACATATTCACCTTCATGCCCTTCTCTGAATGCATGGTCTTCATGGTCCTCTTCCTCCTCATTCTCATCTTCACCAGCCTGCTCTGGCAGGAGGTCAACTTGCCCATAGGTGTTCACCACCTGCTTGCAGAAGGGACATGTCTTCTTCCGGGGCTGGGTGCAGAACCAGGAGTCAATGCAGCCACTGTGGTAAGCATGAGAACAGGGCAGGATCTTCAGGCAGTCCCCTTCCTTGTACTCCACCATGCAGATCACACAGGACTCATATTCGTCTCCCTGCTTGTATGTGTGAAGCTTTAGCTTGCAAGCTTTCTCGTACCAGCTTAAGCCAACCACAACTGAGATTGTGGCAACAACGACATAGAATAGGTCCCTGAAATCCTGCGTGGTGGAAGTTTCCTGAAGCTTTTTAGCATTGTCTTGACAAAGACTCAAATAGTGTTTGGGTGGTAGAAGTCTGATGTTCTCCTCTTCCTTGCATTGCAAAGCCCTTTGCAAGTGGAGGGAGACAGATTGTCCAGTGAAGAATGATGGTATCTTGATCAGTTGCTGGATTTCTTTGTTATCACTCATCACGGCAACCAGTTGCTCTGAATCTACACTGTACACAAGAGCAGCTTGGTATCCAGCCTCCTGGGCATGAAGGACCTTCTTGACAAAAGAGCAGTCAGAGCTTTGTATGAGTGCAATATATGTCTTGGAGGATGTTCTTGATGCTGGAGGATTCTCTATTGGACTGCAAGCATTTGCTGGTATCACTCTCGTCAAATATCCCGTCAGTCCTTCTGCAGGGAGTCGTGGCCCATAGTACGCAGGCATGGCTTCATAAACAACGCACATGGAGCTGTCATTGAAAGCCACGTAGCCCACGATTTCTGCAAGAGCAGCATTGTAGAAGGCAGCAGTAACCACAAAGTGAAGAAGTTGGAGCTGAAGTTTCATGCTGAATGCAGTCGGGTAGCTCTGAACACAGGTTTTCGTGCTGGTCGCAAAGGAAAAGTGTAAGAGACAGTCAGAGAGGCACTATCCCACCTGTGGTTTTATCCCCACCACTTGGAACCACAGAAAGATGGAGATCAAGACCTGTTTCTGTCCTGGAGGCTTCTGAAGCTTTTCTGAGGCTCCCGGGATAGAACTTGCCTCTTTAATTACCTCCAGCTGCTAAGCAACACTCTTGCATCATCTCTACAGATCTGTGACATCACCCAGTGACTGTTCCCCGAGGCTGGGTCACGTAACATTGCTGCCAACCTGCTTAAACTTCTCCCCTTCCTTTTTGGTCTACTCCATGCACGTAGCTTGTAGCTTCATCTCCCCCCTGGGTTCTGACAGGATGCTGGATTCATTTTTCTGATGATGTGCAGGCAGGACAAATGACCCTCCCCATCAGCTACCTGCCCACTGCAGACTGGAATGTTTCATGCTGGTGGCCAAAGCAACTCCTGGAAAATGTGGCAGCTTGGACTGGTCTGGTGAACGTGCAGTTTTTACTTAAAATTGTGATCTTTGAACTAATACCAAGACAAATAAATTGCTTAGGGTAGAAGAGGTTTCTGTCATTTGAAATAAGTCAATCAGCAACTGTTGGTCAAAATGGCAGCTAGCAGAAGTTGTAAGTCTCTCTCTTTGCTTGTGTGTCCTCACTCTGCCCTTACCCAAACCTCTGGCAGGGCAGATCCACCTGAGTGAGAAGCTACATTTGTGGAAGGGGTGGATAGACTTGGGCTCTTGCAGGGGCTGAGTTGGTTGGACTCCTGTCCTACCACAGTGAGAGTGGGTGGTGGATGAACTTGGAAGGGCTACCATCAACTTTTGTACTGGGGCTTTTCACCTTATTTACTTTAAAACCTCAGTTGCTGGAATCAAATGGCTGGGGAAAAAACAAACAAACAAAAAAAACCCCAAAACTTTAGCTTCTAGCTATAAAAACTGATTTAAAAATTCTAGTTATGAGGAATAAGCTGAAAAAGGAGTAGAAAGCATAAGGCACAAGTGTTGTCCCTCCCTCCCAGAGTGTTTAACAGCAGAAGCTCCCATCTTTCAGGCAATTCCCAACTCATATGGTGACTGCTCAGTGCCCGGAGGAACACCAGCCTGATGGGAATGCAGCAGCTCTCCTGGTTGTCGGAACAAACTAGGTCTGAATATGCAGTGAACCCAGGTCAGTTCAGAACCTCAAATCCCTAAAAACTTGTACCTTTTAATAAACAGCCCTTTTTTGTATAACGATCCACTTGAGAGTAGCCCCACAGTTTCCAGTGCAGTTGTGTTGGACCTGTAGTTAAAAAAAAAAAAATCACTCGTGTACTAGGCAACTGATTTGTTACCAACCCCCTTGGGCTCTGCTTGAGACAGATTTCACCGGGAAAAGAGCTACAGAAAATGTCAGCAGACAGTGTGTGTGTGCGCCAGAGACTCCCAGCAGCTGTGATTTCAAATCGATTTTATTTTCCCCTCATCTAAAGAGTTTTACACTTGCAGGGAGACATTTTGATGCATTTAAAAAACAAAGCAAGGAAAAAGGTTTGGGGAGGAAGGAGAAACCAAATGCTTTCTAGAGGAATGAGAGATGAAGAAGAAAATGGAGGTACACTAGGAGACCTTTGTAAGGGTGAATTTTTGGCTTGGTTTTATACTTCTTGTGATGGCATCCATCATCCTAGTGTTCTTTAAAATCCTTGCCTCTTTACTTGCACTCAGTACTCTATTTCTGCCTCCAGGTCAAAGCTTTATGTACTGCCAGTGCCTTGCTGCTCGTGTAAGGGTAAGGGGTAGGTCTGTCTTTGGGGCTGGACAAGGAGCTGTATATCTGCGTGTGCTGTGACAGATGTGGGACCAAGGAACAATCCCTTTGGTACTCTGTGTGCTGTTATCTCCTGATTGCTCCAGCACCAGCTCTTATCCTAGAATTAGCAAGGTAGGAGTGAGCAGCCATCCTGGTTTGCTCACCAGAACCTTTGGATAAAAGGAGAAATCAGGTGTTTGCAGTCACCAACCTGGATCTAAGTAACTCTTGGTGGTAACTGAGAGAGGTGTGGGCAAAAGGACAAATCCTCTTCAGGAGAGGTTGGAAGGCAAAGAAGAGGGGAATGGGGTTCAGAGAAAGCTCTGGGGAGTGAGGAAAGGGGAAAAGCTGAAGTCTGGATGGGGACCATGATACCCATATCCCACTCACAGGCAAAGGATGAGATAGGAAACCCTAGTCTGTAGCCTCCTTTGAAATCCTTGAATGTTTTTGCAGAAGGAAGGAGAGGAGGACTGAAGGAGGACTTTGGTCAAGATGGTCTTCACTCAAAGAGCCAAAGTCATGCCCCGTCTGCTCTGGTTCTCTCCGTGCTTTCCATTTGTATCTTTGCTGGGTGAGGTTAAGCCGAGCATCCCAGTGTGGTGTGGGGCTGTGCCAGGCTGCCTCCAGCCACACACTGTGGTCATCAGAGCCAGCACTGTACTCTCCTCATCCTGCCCTACCCCTGTTATATCCGTGTGTTAAATACATCACAAATGCTCCTGGACGTATTCTTGACCCATTTTCTCTGGAGTCCCTGCAATGTACTTTGTCAGAATAATTGCAATTTATTTAAATGTCAACAAGTCACACGTGGGAGACAGCAGTTGTGTGCAAGAGCAGAGCAATTACAGGGAACGGGTCCCATTTTACCACTTGAACAAAGATCCAAGCGAGAAGAAAGGAAAAGACCATTTACCTCTGTTAACCGATCACTTACCCCACCACTCCCAAAGTCCCTGTGTTCCTTTATATTTCTTCTTTGGGGCTATCACTTAGTGCAGGAGCTGGGATATAAAACCAGCTCTTCCTTTTGCTTGTATTCCACAGAAGCACCCGCTCAATCCAGAGGAATTTAATGCTGATTTAGACCCACATCACTGCTAACAAAAATCTAACCCTGGTCCTGCCTAAACAGCTTAAACTGCAACAGAGATGCAGAGGAAAATGACTTATGTGGACATCATTACAACTCCAACAAAACATGTATTACAGGCTCCAGACCCAGCATCGATTTAACTTGGGGAATAAGTCCAGATGGCTTTTTCCCCTCTGAGGTTTTTGCAGTATGAAAAGAGCAGCCTGGCAGTGGTATGATGTGAGTTTGTATATAATCAGACTTCTTGCTCTTTATCTGTACTAGTTCAGCATCTCAGGTCCACACACACACATCAGATTCTCCCTGCCCTTAACAGCCAAAGGCCAGGAGCAGAAAAAGCCATAGGGCTAGCCCAGAACTAGTTACTGTGAAGAAAATTAACTCTATCGCAGCCCAAACCAGCACAGGGTTAAATACTTTGCTCAAGACATCTTGGCAGGTATCCCTGGTTCTAGCTCGGTGCCCTTCTTATCAGGCCATGCTGCTCCTTTGGGGTCATGCTATAGGATTAGTGAGGACCAGGCTCCCAGAGCTGAAATATTAGTGATTAGCTGTGAAGGAAGATCTGGGGCCATCTAGTGATCTTCCAGTGAAAACTTCTGTACTTCCAGTGCTCCCAGTTGCTCTTAAAAGATATGTGGGACACACTTCTCCTCTCCTGCTGACGGAGCAAGTCCCAGCTCTGCAGCGAGCTGGCTGGAAGGCAGACCTGCACCCTGCTCTTAATGATTTTTTTTTTTGCTAGGAGCTGATTTAGGAACTGGTGCATGTAACCACCTCCTTTCATCTAGGATGAAAGGAAAGGATGACCCATGTTTTTACAGAATAGATAGCCGAAACAGTCAGAATCACCACCCAAAACACGAGCTGAGGAGATGAGAAATGAAGTTGTGTGTTTGGAGAGGTTTTGTACTTTGCTGTTTGCCCCTGTAGGAAAGCAGGTTTGTGGGAGCTCGGCAAGCCCTGCTCTGTGCACCAGCCCTACACGTTATCTTAGTGCCATGTGCTCTACCAGGTACCTCTCCTGGATTTCCCAGGGGTGCAGGCAATCTCCCCTCTGTTATTACCAAGTACAAGCATGATAATCTGGACCCTAATGCATAGAGATGATTATAAAGCAGTGATTTATAGACCTGCTACAAAAGGACCCATAATCTACTAATGCCCACAATTAAAAAAAAAGGCAGTTGAGCAAATCTGGGTCATTGCAACTCAGTACCCTTGGCTGGAAATGGGTTCCAGCTCCAGCTGTTTGCCTTGCAACAGAGGGAGACTTCTTTATTAGATATTGGTGCTGGAAATCATATCTTGCCTTTTCTAGCTTTGGCAAAATGCCCTGCAAACCTTGGATGTAAAGCACAAAAACACTCTCTCCATTTAGCAGAAGTTTATTCTTTCTAAATATCTGCATGAAAAGAAAAGAAAAAAAAAAAAAGGGTGCTTGTTTCATCAACCTGGGTTTGTGCTAAAAAAGTAGCTGGTAACTGTAGTAGTTGGCCTCTCTGTTGTGTTGGTTTTCAGGAGGGAGAGCTTGAGAAGCAGAGTAAGAGGAGGAACATCAAGATGAGCTGTCCAGGGGCTTGGCAAGAGCTAGCTGCTGCTTCTCTTCTGTGGTTGTGGCCATCACAAATCTTCTAGCATGAAGCAGAGCTGTCTGTGATCAGCTGCCCAAACTGGGTAGAGCCAAGGATGTCTTCAGTATTCCATTTGCCCTTCTACTCTGTATTCCCTACTCCTGCATTTCCGTATGTTTTTAGAATCCTGTGCTGTGTTCACACTTCCTGAGAGGCATTGGCTGGAGTTTCAACTATGGGGAGGGTGGCAGATGGAGGTGGTGGGACTATGTAGGATGGGGGTCCTAATTTTCCAGGAGGGAATTTGGATGAGCCTTCGTGGGGTTATTCCTGCTTGCCTTTGTGTTCACCAAGGGGAATCAACAGGACGGCGGTCACGCTGCGCAGGCAGAGCGGGCAGGTCTTGCTCCCGGGCTGAGCGTGGTGCCACAGGTCAATGCATTTGCCATGGTAGACATGGGAGCAGGAGAGCAACTTCAGCCCT